CCCCCGCCCCCCGCCCGCCGCGGCGGTGGCGGCCACACGTCCCCGCGCGGCGCCGCGACGTGCTCCTCAAACACGCGCGCTATGAAGAGCTCGCTCATGGTGCCCTGGCTGATGCGGCTGAACTCGGCGCGCGACAGGCTGCCGCTGCTGTCGGCGTCCCACAAGCTGAACGTGTTGTACACCCGCTGCGTCGACTGCGGCGGCCCCAAACAAGAGCGGGTGGGGACCGGCGCCGGCCGGGGACATGCGCGCTCGGATCGCAGCGCCCGCAGGCGGGCTCGCCGCAGAGCAAGTCCGCAGCGGACAGGAGGACGGCGTCGCTTCCCCCTTCACGCGTCCCCCCACTGGCGGAGTTCTCGGGCCTGGAAGCTATCCCCCGCCGCGGTCCGACCGGCTCCCCTGTTCCCGCAAAGCGCCCCCCTCCGCGCCGCGGCCCCCCCCCCCCCACCTGCAGGCTGAACCAGTTTGAGCTGAGGTCCCGGTCGTCGAGGGCGGCCCCCGGGCCCAGCCCCAGCGCCCGCAGCTCCTGCAGCTCCATCATCACGGGGCTGACCAGCAGGTCAGACAGCCTGGAGGACGGGGAGGGGTGTTTTGTGTGTGTGTGTGTGTGTGTGTGTGTGTGTGTGTGTGTGTATCTGTGCGTGCGCCTGTGTGTATGCATGTATCGGTTTAGTGCTGGGGAATGTGGTGGGGCAAAAGGGGGAGAGGGGGCCCGTGTGGTACGGTGGGTATACACAAGGGCTACCAGTGCATGAGGGGCGCCTTCACAAGGCTGCGCCACTCCACGGAGCTCAATTTGCCAGCCAATACGGCTGCCTGCCGCGGCCCGCCCCCTCGCCTGACGCGCGTCTCCGCGCCGCGCGCGCCGCGCCGCCCGTGGAAGAACAGCAGCTTGCGCGCCGCGATGCGTGTGTAGTGCGGCAGGAACGACGGCTCCATGGATGCCAGCAGCGGCAGCTCCTGCGCCACTGGGGGGCGCCGCCGGTGCGGGCGCGCACAGCAGCGCGGCGGTCAGTGACGTGCAGCATAAGAGGGGGCCCGGCGACGCGGCGCCACGCTCGCATGTGGGCAACGGCCGAAAAGCGCGCCTCGCAGAACCTCGCCATTGCAGGCCATAATGTAGGCCCTGGGCCTGGGCTCTGGATCGTAACCTCTCTTCACCCCAGCCAAAGCACCCCTTGCCGCCTGCGCCACTTGCACCCCATCCAGCTCCCCGCCTTCCCCTCCCTGTGCCCGCTTTGAAGCCTCGCAGCCCCACCGTCTGCCAGGTATCTCTCCAGCTGCGCGCCCCCAAGCTCCCCCGTGCCCGCCTCATCGTAGAAGCACAGCTGGGCCCTCTGCAGACGGGGGCAAAGGGGGTCGTGCAATACGCGGAAGGCACCTCACACCTCTGCCCGGGGAGCCTCACGCGTTCACAGCAAGCGGCAGCATGCGATGCGAGCGTTGCGCGGCGATGCAAGCCCTCACACGGCCGGAAGGCGGGCGGCGCCCTGGTGTGGTCAAGCC